TCGTATCAGATCTTTTGAGAACATGCCTTTATCTGTATTTCTGTCAAAGCTCTCTCTTGCTCACAAACATACCGAATTCAGACCTAGAAGTACTTTTCTAGGGGCAGGGTTCTCATTTTGTAATGTAAAACATTATAAAGTAATCTGCAAATTTCAAAATAAAGATTTTTTTTTTTTTAGACGAAGAAACCCAATTCCAAGCTCAAAAGCAAGGAAACAAAAGACAAGAAGAAATAGAAATAATAAGTGCTTCAAGATAAAGTTCTCTCATGTTGTAATCAGAAAAACTGCAAGGATTTGTTTGTTTAGGGGGTGGGGACAGGCTGAGTTTCTTTGTTCTTTCTTTACCAAAAGTGCCAGCGATGCTTGAAATAAACCCATATGAGAAACGGTGCTGTACACAGATGAAGATTTAATTTCAGTTCTCATTCGTGCTTGTTTTCTGATGAAATTATCCGCAGTTCATAGCCATTTTTCTCGTACATTGCTCCATCAATAGTAGTGGAAATGTTGCCCAGTTAACTTTTCACTGTTCAGTTTATTACTCTGGTGCTTCTTTTTGTCCTGCTCTGTGGGAGCATTCAAGAACATCTGTAGCTTTAAACATAAGTTGATAATTGATTTCAGAAAATACATGTTTGTTCAGAACCTTGATTACAAACCCTTAGTTTTCCTTTCTAGCCCTACCTCTTAAGATAAATCAGATGTGGCTTTGGTTAAGGGTTGTTTGTTTTTTTTTTTCCACTAGTAATTGCCACAAGTGTGTCATACTGATGACCTGTAAGAATGAAGAAAAATTGCATGGGAAATTTGTGTGTAAAGGAAAGGAAGGAAAATTCACATTTATTTCATGCCTCATTACAATAATCCTTACTTGTCTTCTACCATGTGTCCCTCTGGATCTGTGCCCACCTTCCTCTTACTATTTGCATAATTTCTTTCTTAATGATTTGCCATCATAGTTTCACATCCATTATGTTACTTCCTTTTGCTGTCCGATTTGGCAATCAATTAAGTGTATTGATTCTACATAGTCTTTTGGAGAATAGACACCTTTTAATAGCTGCTGTACAGCAATGCTGTACTGGGTAAAAACTATAGAAAATCTCTTAACATCTTTATCTATACAAGACAAATAACAATTAAATGGATTTCCCACTACATCCCTGCTGTTAAAGTATATATTTATGCACATGCTCACATTCACAAACCTGTATTTAAGCTCCCTTAATTAAGACATGTTTCATGATCTTTACTGTAAAAAGAAATGTGTTTACAGATATGTGACTGTTCAGATTCCTATGTAGTATCAGTGTCTCAGGTCAGGCTGAGATTTTTTTTCTTCCGCTTCCTCTAAAATCATTGGAATGTATTCAGTCAATCTTTCACATCAGAGGTGTAAATGGATTTCTTGAAAGTTTTTCTGCTGCTAGCAAAGGGCAGTCACTTTACAACTCTGCCTCCATTGTGGGCAGCAGTCGGAAAGCTTAACACTCCACCCGAACTTTGAAGATGCTAAAACTGTGTAATGACCTTGCATTCTCAAGGGCAGATGCTCAGCTTCTGCTGGAAGTGCTAATCTACAATCTGTTTATCTCCATACACTATGTATTTGACAGTACTTGCCTGGAAAGCAAGGCAGGGAAACGTGTAGTCAAATTTAGTTATTCTTTCTTCTCTGATGGTGTTAGTGTCCAGTGGATTTAGAAATTTTAGCCTTTATTTTAATTTTTAGCTCCCTTTATCCTTCCTTTTCAGCTTGTCAGTCTTAGAAAGCAACCACACTGCCAGTGTCAGAATATGCCTCATCTTTTTGAAGCCTCTGCTAGTGCCTGAGCTGGACCATGCAGACTAACTTTTTTTCCATCTTTTCTTTATTCTGAATCAGATTATAGTTTTACCTTCAAAACATAAACAGTTGTTTGTACTTTCTATCAGTAGGCTTTAGACTCAGTGTGCTCTCTGTATTATTCTTTAGTGGGTATGAACTGAGATGCATCACATAATTCTTATGAGCATATTGAGGAGCATGTTTCGAATGAAGACATAATGTGTTGAAGCCAGGTGGTGTGTGCAGAGAAAGGCAGTATCTGTTAGATATACTAGTCATGTAAACGCTTCTTCAGATCTGGAACAGAAACCTCATTCGAAGGAGTTTGCACATAAAAGCATGTCAGTGTTTGCAGGTACCATAAAAATGAGCTTTACGTGCCCAGAGTTTGTTCTTTACTAACTCTGTTAGTCCGCCTGATAAGAGATGTTCCCTCCCCTAACAAATCTTGCCTTGCTTGCACCTGTAAACCATCAGTCACCAAAGCATTACTGACTGCTTTAATGTAATCTCTGTGGTTTTTCAAACTGGTGTTCCTTATCAAAATAAAACATTAACATCAAATTAAGCTGATTTGGCAACAGCATCTATTTTTTAATACGAACTTGTCTGTTCTGTCGGGCATTTGTTTAGCTTCCCAGAGGATTGTGTATGTGTTGCAAATGTCAGAATTCAACCTTGTAAATCTTTTCTGTGGTGAAGCAATGGGAAGCTTGCTTCTGATTATTGAGATCACTGGGTTTAACAGTAAAAGTTTTTAAAGAATTGCTAGAATTGACCTTTTGAATGCTAGGTTTTCAAGAAGCTTAGCCAGCAATCTATTTAGGATGTATACCATGATTTTCTTCCTCTCTGCTTACAGAATTAGGAAGAAGTGTTATTGTCAAAGTGGTAATGTTTCCTTTTGTGATGTATGCTTTGATTTAGCAGTGGCAGTTGCCCATTGAGTTAATATCACCACACTTCTAAAGCAAATTTACACCAAGTCACAGGCCCCATGCCAAAGAGGAAGAACACCATCTTTGTTTATCATCAAAAGAAAGGGGAAGGTTGTTTTGGTTTTTATCTTAGCATTTTTTGGTAACGTATAAAATTGCTGTAAAATGTACTGAGGCATGGAGCGTGTAAGAAACGACTAATGGTGCTGAATCAATGAGTTCCTTCAGGTTTAGAGAAGACCTGGCTAAACTCACCAGCTGTCAGTGTACTCTCTTCTTCCTACACTCAATGCTCATTTGGAGTACAGGATGTTTTGGCATATCGCCTTCCACTCCATCCGTGCTTCTCTTTGCTCATTGCGAAGGTCTGAAGGTGGAACCCTGCTGCAGTGGTGTTCTGCCATCCCAAAATTACAAGGCACTTAGGGAATACTCAGGCCCTTGTGAAATGTAGTTGCCAATGGGAAAAGGGGGAGAAGGGGAAAGTCTGGCTCACGTATTCTTAGTAGCAGTTCATACAGGTCGGAGTTGGGTTCTGATGAAATGACTGTTGCATCTACATTAGACAGATCTTACTGTCAGTTCTTCCTTCTAAGCATCATAGATGCTACTGTACATAAGTATCAGATCAGCTCTTGGTGCCTCCTCCCTTCCTTGGCTTCTGTTCTTCTACAGCTGGTATACTTGAACACTTACATTTCCTCATAACTGTTATCTGCATTTTGGTTTAGACCTCCCTGTAAACTGTGAGTGACTCCCTGAAGCAATTCTTATTGCTGCTTCTTCTTGTCTTTCTAGTCTTTTATGACCTGTCTCAGCTGTGACATTTCCAAAAAGATAAACGATTATGGATAGCTAGGCTGTGGGGCAGTCAGATATGGCATATATTATTTATTTCAAAATATGTTTTTAAATCCTACAGAGCCTTCAAGTTGCACAGCTTAACTGTTTCCTCCTCAGTTCTTCTTGTCTGCTACCAATTTTGGCATTTACTTGTTGCTTTTTGTTTTAAGAGCACAATAGGAAATCTCTGTGCCTTATGGGCTGTCTGGATCCATGACTTTTTATGGACCCAGAAAACAAATACAAAAATAGTCATGTAAGGTTTTTCTGTATATTAGCTTCCAAAAGACTGAAGTAAGGTTGTGTTGCTCAAGGTTAAATGAAAAGCAGAGACAGCTGGTTTTTTTTGTTTGGTTGATGGGGTTTTTTTGGTTTTTTTTTTTTGCTTGGAGAAAAAAAAACAGAAAATAAGCATCATTATAGACGAATGTGAGCAAGTTTTGGACTTCTGTTCATTAAACAATAAAGTTTGTGAATAGCTGAAAGACTAGTTTTTCTTGAGGCATATCTGGATGAAGAATAGTCTTGGGTCAGAGAAGTTCTGAGCAAGCTTTGTGAACTCGCATGCATTAAATGATAGAATCATTTTATTGAGCAATAATAAAATATTGAAGTCAGATGGAAGGATGGTGGGGAATTGCTGTTTGCAGCTCTGAAACTGATGCATGTCATGTTAACTCCCAACCCAAAGAACTCATTTTAAGATTTGCTCTCATGAAAGTTAAAATTTTCTGTTTTGTCCAATCATCAGCTTGAAACCTGTTCCTTGTCAGTAAAGACAACAAATCTTTTTGCTTGCGTCTGCCTGGGGGATGTGAAAAGCTGAGGTGGTCCTGTGTGATTAAATCAGATGAAAGACTTGCCTTCTACCAGTGAGACGCAAAGTCTAATCAAGTGAAATGAGTTTTGAGATCTCAGCTCATTTCCTTGGGGAATATCAGTTTACATTACACAGTCAGGACACCTAATTCATCATGGTTGATGCGGCTTTTGCTCAGAAGAGGACCTGGGACTGGGTAGCATGGGACTTGATCACAAGTACCCCTCTAAGGAGGAGCAGCTTAGTCAAGTTAAGATACAGTACAGTGAGGGGAGAGCCTTAATATGATTTTTAAAATAAATGATCTATATTTCTGTGTATCAGATCTTTTAGAATAGAGGGACTTAGGTGCAAAATGGAGAAAGCTAGAGGTAAAAAAGGTATAATTTATAAAATGATCGGCATACAGATGTTAAAGAGCATACACCATGAAGAGGAAAGCTGAAATTATTGTTACTTAATTTCTATGATGTTGAAAGATGTTTTTATATTTCCAGGCACTAAGGTACAAGGAAATAAAGACTATTCTGCTTCCCTGACTAACAGACTCTTTTTTTGTTTCTTCCAGGGCATTGTTATAACTCCACTTCTGCTTTTGCTTTTTGTAAGTATCTTGATTTTAAGATGTCTTTTTACTGGCTAATCTTGCACCTCTTAGACAGTATTTTTAAGATACTGCCCTGGGTTCAGCAGTAGCAGTCATTTTTCTCCTTCTTAGTAGCTGGTGCAGTGCTGTGTTTTTGACTTTCAGCCTGGGAACAGCACTGATAACACCGATGTTTTTAGTTGTTGCTCAGTAATGTTTACTCTGACCAAGGACTTTGTGAGTCTTATGCTCTGCCAGGGAGGAGGGGAAGCTGGGAGGAAGCAGAGACAGAACACCTGACCCAAACTAACCAAAGGGGTATTCCATACCACAGCACATCATGCCCAGTGTATAAACTGGGGGCAGTTACCGGGAAGGGCTAGATCACTGCTCGGGTCAGGCTGGGTATTGGTCAGTGGGTGGTGAACTGTTGTATTCTCTTCCCTTGTTATTTCCCTTATCATTATTATTATTGTTGGTAGCAGCAGTGGTTTTGTGTTATATCTTAGTTACTGGGCTGTTGTTACCTCAACCTGTGGGAGTTACATTCTTTTGATTCTCCTCCCCATCGCTCCAGAAGGGGGGGGAGTGAGTGAGCAGCTGCATGGTTCTGGGTTGCTGGCTGGGCTTAAACCACAACAGTTCTTTTTGGCGCCCAGCATGGGGCACGAAGGGTTGAGATAACAAGAGATCTGACCAGAGTGTGTCTAATTGTATTTGTGATAAGCAGATAAGCAGTCATTGTTTCGGATTAATAGTCACTTGTCACAACGCTGATTTATTGGCTCTCAAAGTTGTTGCTCTTGATCTCGGAGTTTCAGCATGTTGTACCTTACTTACAGCCAGTATTTGGTGTGTTAGTGTTCATTGGCTGGGGGGGGTCTTGTTTCATTGTACTTTATGGTATTAACTTGTAATACAATAGACTCATTGATCATGAAACTGATCTGGCTTGCGTTCCCAGTGTGGTCACCACCTCTATACTTTGGGAGGTATATAATAGAAATGTTTAGCAATTACACATCTTTTTTCCCCTCCTCGGGTGGCCAGCCTGTGAAGGGGACATTCCCTTACCTTCCCAGCCCCCCTACCAGATCATTTACAGCATCATTTGAGAGTTCTGAAGGTTTTGAATGGCCTTCGGGTACCCTTGAGACCTACCTGCTAATTGTGGTGGGGATCACAAAATCTGGGTGATATAACAATGCTTAAATAACAAGGAAAACTTTTCAGGTCAGTATTTGAAATAAGCTGTCTCCCAGAAAGGCCATCAGAATGTGTCACAGTGAATGCAAACACTACCTGTACTTCATTCTAAGATGACCAAACCCCATTGTTCTGGTAGGATTATAAAGCCACGAGCTATTAGTCAGGCTGGGTGTCTGAAATACAGACACTTGCCAAGTAAGCTGATTACTCAGTTGAGAGATCTTTTGAAAGCTTTCACGTGCAGGAGCTGGACAATATTGTACTGATCCAAAATGGATGACAGGCCAATTGGGAAAGCATTGTTCAGGTAAACAGAGCCATGCTTTTGGACAGCTAAGCCCACGGCTATTTTTGTGGTGAGGTTAGTGAGAGAGCAGCAGCAGCAAGGTACTTTACTGGAGCCCTTGTGTACTGCTAAATGTGATCCTGCTTCCTTTCTGTTAGTTCAGGATTTCTTTTTCAATCATTAGTCTTTAGTCAGGGCCTTGTTCCTTATAGTTCATGTTAGAAGAAAAGGGAGAAGACCAGGTTTTATCTTCATACTCTATAAAGGTATGGGTATTCATCAGCATACAACAAAAATGCTTTAACAGATGGATAGTGGTGCTTCAAGTCCCCTGTCAGGAAGTCTTGGTGCTTGAGGATTTGGTAGCATAAATGATAGGGAGTAGTGCAGATTGCCAAGTGAGGAACGTGGCTTTGTGAAGAGCAGGGGAATAGGCTGAAGCACTTCAACAATTTCAGCAGATGTATACATTGTCTTTCATGTTTATCTTACTAATTGCATTATATGTAAGCCAGCACACTGGAAATGAGGGCATGCGAGAAGTTAGTCTGAAACAATTTGTAAGTGGCATACAAGTGGCACGCTGTTTGTGGTAGAGATGCCTAAGCAGCATATGTACTGTACACAAATATAGCAGTGTATACTAAACTGGGATAAATAGTACTGTGAGAGTGACTGTAACATTATCAACTACTGCTTCAGTAAAGCTGTGTGGGAAGATCCTTATTTTACTATAACAAATTGTAATTCATCTGGTGTAGCTGTGTTTACACAAGAACTGCTTTGACCATATTGTGTATATCAATGCACACTAGCAAAGTTTTCTTGATATACCTGGGACGATAGACTTACTGTAGGTTGAAAAAGATAACTACTCTAAAAAAAAAAAACCTGGGGTTTATTATTCTTGCACTGAATTTGTTGCTATCCTCTTCCCTCCTATATGAAACCTGTTTCTTCTATAGGCATTCATCCAGAGACTTGTGCCTTTGTTTCTAAGTGACTGAAACTTCAGCTTTTTAAACTTTTGCTCACTGGCAACTTTCACCCTGCTGTACCTCACTGAGTTTTGTTGCTTTACATAGCCCAAAGGGATATATTCTTTAGAAATTGAAATGTTAAGGAATGATCTGCATACCTTTTTAAGCAAAGTAAAGATCTTTCCTTTGGCGACTTTATGGGCAGGTAACATGATATTCTGTCCCCTGAGTTGCAGTTTTCACTGCTGCTTCTCAAAAGGGATGGTAAAATTTTGTGTGCAAGAACAGGAAGCAAAGTGGGTGCCTCTGTTCTTCCTAGCAGCACTGGAGACACTTGTACGAGAAATGTGTAAAATGCACATTAATTGTTGTGCAGTGAGTAATTTAGTCACGCAACTTAGCCTTAAGGCTTAGTTAACAAAGATTTGGACTTTTCAAGTTTCAAGATAAAAGCCGCATTTACCTCAAAAGTAGCTGGGCTGGGCTTCTGAACACCTTTCAGGGACCTTTGAAGCCAATGCCAATTTCAGTTTCTGAGTTTGGTACTCACGAGCACTAGCACTTCCAGGGTCATACTATGGTAGTCTGAATGCTATATTGTATTAGTGATCCTATTTGTTATCTCCCGGTGCACAGAGCATGAAATACCCTTAGTGCTACCAGAAATAAAATATGTTCCTGTCCATTAGTTTGGTTTTGTTATATAGCTTAACTTGCAGTAGCAGTTATGGTTTAAATTTTGCCCTATGTGCACCAGAGGATATAATGTTCTGAACTGCCTTTTCTGTTCATAATTGCCTAGTAATGTAAATATAAATTGTTTAAATAATATTGATAAAGGCATGTTGAAGCTTATTATAAATAATGCATTTAATGCAAATAATTTATCATCTTGAATGGAGTTGAACATAAGATTGTCAGTTACATTTCTGAAAAGTGCTTTTCTACTATGAAGCACCAGGTGTAATCTTACTCAAAAGAAGCATTCTAAAAGGTTCTGATGGATTTAACGAAACCTTAAATACTGTGCACATAATCACTAGACTCTATCCTTGAGAGGATTCACATCGAGACTTTAAAGAATAGCTGCCTTCACCACAGATTCCTCTGATTAACATTTTACTTAGGAAGCTATTGAATCTGTCTTCCAAATTCATTAATCGGCAGTATCATCATCCTCGTGTTAACCCTTATTATTAACAGTTAATATGTTACATTCTCAGCAAAGATGTTATAAATGGGCAGTGTCCCATAAACTGTGTGTAATTGATTACAGTTCATATATGGGGTGAGCAGGAGTGTTGAAACAAAGTGCTGTAAGATACATCGGTTTCAAGTTAACTCAGGGTTATGCTGTTCACATTTCTTTGCACCGTTCTGCAGTGTTTCATTAGTGATGGTTAGGAGGCTGTGTACCAAAGCATTCAGAGGAGGATGCTGTCCATCTTCCTCGTCTAGTCATGTACTTAGCTGAAACCGAAGGTAATTGATCATGAAATTTTTTTTAAAGTAGAGACTTAAGCTTTATTTTCTCAAACGCATTTGGGGTGAGCAGGAAGAGAGAGAGCCGCATCAACAATAAATTGAAATGTAGACTAAATTTTGCTTTTGGAAATGACTATATTATTATCAATAAATAATGACTACAAATAGGTTAAATAATGCCTAAGGAAGTTAGTCACTTGGGTGTGACTGTCCATCTTTGCTTATATGACTTGTTCTCCATGTTCAGTTTAGTTATTTCCTTTAGTAATTGTATTAACATTTTGTGTTTTGTAGTAACAGGTTATGATTTGAATTCTTAAGTATGGTGCATTTGGGCACATTTGCATTACTAAAAGACAGTTAAACGAAAGATGTCGTCATACTGTGAAGATAATAGTTCTCTGAGCTCTTTAATAACCTTGATGTCAGCACCTTTTTATGATGTTTCATCTGAAATACACAACTTCAGGAGCACTGCACTGTGAAACACTTGTAGCTGTATCATCTCACTTATATGTCCTTAGATTGTTATGAAAACCAGAAATATATATGAACATAGATTTCTTTTCATTGATGCCTCAACAAGGTCATGTCACTTGGATTTGCCCTGGAAGCAGAATGAGCACAGACATTTAAGACCATGTAAGAGGATAATGCAGAGTGACCTTTTTTGTGTGAACAGACCACACAAACTTATGATTTTGTTGATTACATCCAGTATCAAAATACAAGAAGTCAGTCATCAGCACACCTGTTGGAACCAAATGTAATGCTGTGTTTTCTATGGCACAGTATCCCAGCCTTGCCACCTTCTTGGTATTGCCCTTGCTGCTGAGGCTCAGTGCCTGACCGATATAGTCTTATCAGTAGGAGGAAGTACAGCTGGTTCGCTATCAAAGTAACATAAGTCAAGGTCTGCGAATCTATGTAACTTTATTGAAAGCCATCAATGTTATAGATAAGTATTTTACACTTTTATGTACTTTACATTCTTTAGAAGCATGCCTGCAAAAGAGTTAACGTGGAACGTTAAAGACCCAATGCAAAATTCATGTGTATTTTTAAAAATACGCTTGTCAAAATCCTCCATGGAACCATCAGACATCGCTCCCAAATTTGCTCTTTTACCAAGGATGACTATTGTGATGTTTGTGTCAAAATGGAATCTTCTATGGCTTTATCAGTTTGCTTCTTTTCTTGATTTATTCGGTCATGTTTTGTTTTCTGGTACCCTGGTACCCTCTCAAATTTCTTAATTTTATAGTAGGTATTTTTATGGTGGCATTGTAGTGATGCCGTAAGTACTGGAAAGGAGCACTGCTGAAAGAGCTCAGGAGAAGGAAAATCTGTGCAAGTATCACAGAAAAAAAGTGAAATAAAATTACTTGTGACTAAGGACATGAATGAAACCAGAAGTTGATTGAAATACTGCAGTTAAAATCTTCCCATATAGTCACAATCCTTAAATTAAAACATCATTTAAAAGATTATTTCTCAATTTTTTGCCAAGTCTTCTCCAATTCCATGTATTTCAGGTAAATCCTTTTATTAAAAGGAACTGTAATACTTTTTTTTTTTTTTTTAACAGGATTTCTACACACTATGCATTGTTCTTCCTCTCTAGCACTTGGTACATGAGAGTCTGTTGATAAGGAAGTTGCACTAATGGATTTCACTAGTATGTGACAAGAGGCTGATTACTGTGAGGGGAGAAAGCAGCATAGCAAATTAGCTATTAATAGATCAACTCCTTCATGGGGAATATTTGAAGTGCATCGTTATTCCTGCCTAGTTATTTACCTCACCATTTCCTTTCTCTTTAATCATTAGGAAGACAAAATTCTCTGATCCAAACCCTTTACAATTAACTAGAACTTTTTAATGATTGCTATGAAATTTGTACTTGATAATTTTATTTTCAAATTCACCTTTTACTGTATCCAGTATACTTGGATACAAATTGTATTGGATACAAATTGAATACGATAGCAGTTAGAGAATAACAAGAGGGTTCTCCCTCTTCCTGGCACAAAATACCTTAAATTTGCCTAGGTAGAATTTAATGTTCCGGTGGAAGACTTTCTTTTCTACTTGGTTATGCTCTTGAAATTTTCATCTATACAATGCTAGAGGAGCCTTTTAAGTACACATCCTGCTTCTACATGGCAGAAGCTAACTACACGTCTTTATAGGATCATGGAACCAGGATACCATGAGGGTCCTGTCCTGAGTCACCTGTCTGCCTTTTTTCCCTTCTGTGCAATTCACCTCAAAACTGAACATGACCCAGATTATTTTTACACCTATAAATCAGCAGTTTGATTCTATGATGTCTTTCCACTGTTTCTTGCAGTAATTCTGTTTGTTTGCCTGTGAAGAAAGGTTCATTTCTAGGCATGGAAATTATTATAGCAAGGAGGGCAGCCAGATATAATCAGACATTTTAGCATAATGCTAATTTTGGTGCAATGCAGATCATCTAGGTGGTTTAAAAAAACAAAATAAATTATTTTATGACAGCAAATGGAGCACAGAACTTAGCTTGATCCAACTAAAACCTGAGTAAAATCATGTTTATTCATTCAGGCAGAATAGTTGCACTTATATATGTGTAGGTAGGTTTGAGTAACATTTATATCAAGCTATTTGTTTCCTCTGTTCCTCAGTTCTCACTTCTCTCTCAAAGTGGATGTGACAAACATAGCCAAAGGAAGTTTGGAACCCAGGCAATGTCTGAGAGTGTATGGGACATTTTAGTTTGTGATCCTGATTGTTTGCATACTACAATTGTTGAGGCAGTCCTGGTCAAATTAGCATTCATTATCTTTAGCCTTTGTGATTCTTCATGGTTAACCACTGTATTTCCAGAGTTAAAGTTTTTTTATTCTGTGTGATTGAGAAGTGCCTGCCTTCTCTTTTCTTCAGCTGTTATCTTCTGTGTCTTTCTCTGTGAATAGATTTAAAATAAGGCCATGCAAGAGTTTATACATGTTGTGTAATTTACAGATTCTGATAAATACCGTTCCCCTGAAGTTATAGTCATAATATACAGAAGGGAAACAAAGTTTAGAAGTCTTTTTGAAGAAGTAATGTCAGTATCATAGATGGGACAGGCAAGTCTAATGCCATAGCAGTGTACGAAGGACAGGCAGAGTCTAGCTTACACACTGCTTCCAACTTCTATTCCCAGGTGTGTTACAGCAGTGTTAGGACCTCGGACTCAAGGGAAAACAGCTAGCTCCATATTAATGAATCATTTATTTATTTATTCATTTTGGACTGATAATGTGGATTTCTGTTTTGTTTAAAATCTAGTCAGGATGAGGTGGTTACCTGAAATGTGTGCCTTTGGTGGTCCAGGTAATAGTGAGATGAGCCTGAAAGGGTGGGGTGAAGTTGACAAAGTGAAGAACCATATGCTGATATCCTGGTAGAGAAGATTGTTTCTTTGAATAAAATAATTTTACTTTTCCTTAGTAAATTGGTTTAGCATCCCAGCACAGTACCTGTAATCAGCTTCTAATTATGTGAAACTAAATAAAAACAAAGAAAAAACCCACCCCAAAACCCCCACACCCAAGCCAAAACATATCCTCATATATACCAAATGCTTGAAGACTGTATTTAAGTAATATTTAAAAAAGCTGGCAAGACTGTTGCTGTTTGAATGGCTGCCTTTTTCAGCAGTGTACAGTATTGCTGAACAGTTTTTCAGTTCCTGACTTAGAAGCTGATTATATGTCCACTGAGCATAAAGCTTTTAAGTAGTGAGAGAAGTCCAATCACGGTCTTTATAAAAATGAACAAGAGCCACTGCCAAAGTGTCATAGTTTTGTGAAGCTATGCAGAGGGGCCTGACATGTGGACTGCTTGGTTAGATTCACTCCTCTGTGACCCAGACAGATTTTAAAGTTTAAAAATCTTCACTTTCATTTGAAAAAGCTTCGTTGAATACACAGTAAGTAATGCTTTTAGCTCCTCAGCACGTAGCAAAATATAAGTCCAAATAGAGTTTGAAAAACTATGAACCTTTTAAAATTTCAGAAGCTCCTTATAAGATAGAGTTTTCTGCTCCACTTTCTGCAAGGAACCATGCAGATTCCTTGCCTTGTGTCTCTTGGGAACAGAGTAGCTGCACTGCCTGACTTCAGGTACTCATGTGGGTGATCTGAGTCTTCCCCTGCAAGCCTTTACTTCTCCCTCTTGACTTCATGGGGAATTTAGGCTTCTTAATCTCAGTGCTCTCATTTGCACCCTTCTTACAGATCAAAAGTCTCAGTGATGACATCATCTTCAGGTCCCCTCTAACTGTCTTCTGTCCCCACATTGCTAAAATTGGAGGTGATGGGGATGAGATACTGTAATTTATTAAATATTTTTACCTTAATTGAAGTAAAACATGTGAATGTCTTCACTATTTTTTTAATTATTTATTGAAATAGCTACATGAATTTTTGTTGCTTGATATTTGTATAAATGGTAAGGTTAGTTGAGCTTGCTGGTTAGTTAGAAAGATTCACTCCTGTCTTTTTAGACTATCAGCCTACAGATACTTACATAATTTACTTGGTATATATGTGTAGCAGGGTTTCAATTAAATGAATATTGATGGAACTATCATCTTAGGTTATAAAATAATCAACCAGAGATTGTTTTAGTTTTGTTACTATGGAATACCAAATGCTTTATTAGGACTTAAAGATGCATGCACCTGCTTCCAACTTTGTGCACATACTCCCAAGTTTTTATGTGTAAAATAAAATAAAATGTATACTAATGTCTGACATCTTTATGAAATTCACAGACACTAAGAAAAAGTGCAATATTAATGGTATATTTTTTATTTTGTAGCTTGGATCGTCCTCCTCTGTGCCTTTTACATCTATATTCTCTCAGCTGTTTATGACTGTTGTAGTCCCACTTATTATTGGACAGGTATGTCTTTTAAATATACATTCTTATTTAAAAAAATAAGATAAAGAGAGCAATCTTAAAGACAGACTGGCAACCTGATAAGCTGCCACATAGGAACAGCCTCAGGACAGTGAAGTGTAATATCAGAGAAAAGATGCTACAGTGCTCCCTGGAGCCACATTGATCTTTGTTGAGATTGAGCATCTGTCCCTCACTACTACAAACATACGCTACTGCATATCGAGAAGGGAGTTTGTGAACATAAAGTGGAAAAAATGGCAGCCCAGACTGAGAAATTCCAGCCCCATACAAATGAGCTTTGAGAATACTATATAGTCTTTTTGTCACATGCCCTTTGCCTGGATAATGAAGGAAGTTCTCCCTGTATAGTGTCTACTACTGATCATACGAATAAAATTTCTCAACATTAAAAAACATACAAGGCCTAAATAGTCAGAAGTCAAGAATCCATAAAATTAAGGCTGCTTGAGACATTTTGCATATTCTTTACAAGAAGGGTTTAATTGCACAATTGCATACTATCCTTTCTGCATGACTCCTATCACATAGGGAGTATTCATAGAATGAGAAGCTGTTCAACATTTCGTTTTATACTCATTGTTCATGTTGTAACACAAATCCTTGTTTTTCATGGGATTTGAGAGAAATCTTTCACTGAATTTAGAGACACTAGTTGCAATGTAAGATTTTCTGTGACATTTGTCTCTGTAGTATCTTTCTTTTTTTCTTTCTTTTTTTTTTTTTAACAGATGTTAGTATTTTTTTTCTCCCACATCACAGTGGGACATTTCTATATAAAGACCAAAAATTTTCAGAAGTGTCCACTAGTCTTGGACACCAAAGCACCCAAAGCATAATTCTTACATACTTGTAAGTATTCATTGTGCTCAGGGAGTATCAGTGGGATTTGTATTTCTTCCCCAAGGGGTACCATTGCTGATTCTAGCATTCAAGTTCAGCTGGAACTTTCTGAATTTTGTCAGCCTTAAGCAAACTTTGAAATGGAAAGTGTGGTTAAAATGTAGGCAAATGAGATCAGAGTCTGCAAAGGAGCGCCCTGGACAAGGTTAAAAATATCTGTTGGTGCCTGTGCTATGTAGAAGAGTCGATCAGTCTTGTATCAAACTGTAATTGCACATTTCAAAATCAGCATGTACTGTAACTTACCAAAGTCCTGGTAAAGTTTGTTTCTTACATGATCAAAAAAACCCCACTAAAGTCTAATAAGAAGATGGCCATGTTAAGCATGACAATAGCCACCAGAATCAGTACCTGCATAACCTGACTATAACTGTACAGTGTGGAAAATAAAAATTCCTGTGTCCCTACAAGCTGCTAAATTGCTCACATGCTTAGAGTTAAATGTCTAAGAATGTCCTTATTAATTAAGGTCACAAAGGGTTGCTAATGAACTACCTGTGTACCACATTCTTACCTTGTCAAAATTAAATTAAATCTCCACCAAAAGTGGACAAGCAAAAGTCCTTGAATCTTCTCGTCCTGAAAGGTTCAAAAACTGGAAGCTATTAATTGGAAGCCTTAGTTAGAAATTTGTAAGAAACAAACAGCATGACAGCAGATCTAGTAATAAAGTAACCTATAGTGATGGAGTATCAGCAATACGTAGTGCAGTGTACCAAGTCTGAAGATAACGGTAGATTGCTAGGCAAAGTGATTGCAAAATTTCAAGAGAGTTTTCATCTCTGTCTATATATAATGGCATGTTACATTGGAAAGACGTTCCAAGAAATTGCTATGTGAGCTAACTGGTGGAGGTGCATTTTTTTTTGGCGCACCAAATAAGAAGGCTAACATGAATTGAGCAGTAAGTGTATGAAATAAGTGTTCTGAATGATTGTAAGTTCAAATCAGAACTTTGATGAGACCTAACTGAGAACAGATGTGATAAAGACTGAAAGAAAAAAAAAAGATTCTTAAATCTTTTAAAACTCTGTAACTTGATCACATATTTACTGAAGAGTTTGTTTTTTATATATACACTTTAACAAGAAATGGAATTATTCTCCTTTAAAAGTGTTTGAAACAGTTTCTGAAAATGAACAGTCAACAGAAATAGCTCACATTCCTCTAAGCATGAAGATTTTGTTTCTAAAATTATTGCACATGATTGTATCTGTTTAGAGGATATGGGAGAGAGGAAATACTGAGGAAGCTACAGATCAAAAATTCCAAGGGTAGATTGCATTGATTGTCTTGATAAAGTAGAACTGTACAAAGGTAAACCAACTTGCCTAGATAGGAGTAGAAGCCTTTTTTGAAGGTGGATATAAAAAAATAATGTGCAGTAATCATGGAAAATCAATAAGCAAGAAAAGAACTGACACCAAGAGATAAAGAGATAGGTCTGCTTGCCCTTTATCCGGAGGTGGCATGAATCTGTTCTGATTAAATGGGAAGTTTTGCATTTGGTTTGTAGACCACCGCTGACTCATTAGTGAACTGTTGTACATGCAGCACAGCAATGTTAGACTGCTTTTTGAATCACAAGTTGCTCGCTTTGGGATTCCAGATGCATTAAGAGTTAATGGCCCACAATTCATGAATGACAGTTCCAGCGATTACATCTAATTTATCTTTTCATGCCCACAAAGTTGATTCCTTACATGCAGTCATACTGTTCAGCAGAAAAGTCAGTGGAGGAATGCCTGGGATGGTTACCTGGTAGCAAAGAGCTTGACTGGGAGAAAGAAACCTTTGTGACTGGAACTTGCCTGCTTGGAGGATTGCTTCTATTCAGCCTTCCTAACTCAGCTGTGATCAACAGAGGCTTTATGGTCTATCCACATCAGTGCTAACCGGAGAAGGCTGCTTAAAGGAAGCATTCTCCAAGGGCTTTATTTTCCTTTAAAAAAAATCTCACCTCTGGGAAAACCTGTGTTGCCTAAATGCTCATTTCCTGAGCAGGCTGCAGACCTGGCTGTTTCAGCAGCCCCTGGGGTATAAGCAAAAGCAGATGAGAAGGTGCTTTTAGATTTGTTTTGTTTGGGGTTTTTTGCTTGCTTTGTGGCAAAATGTTTAGAGTTTTGGTTGCTTGGCTGACTTGTCAGAATTTTTAATGATGTCTGGGAGAAAGAAGTCACAGTACTGTAATTGATGCTTATTTTCTACTCTTTCTTGAATATTTTTTTCAGTGTGGCAAGAGTGCCGTTGACAGGAGTCAAAGACCGTTTTCTAGCTGCTAACAGTGAAATGCATAAGAGGCTGCAGTTACCAGGCTCTGTTCAGGTGGTGGCTGCCATTTGTTAGGTAAAGAAAGGACTGTTAGAGGATGATGAAGGTATTATTTTACCAGAAAGGCACTGAGTCCAGCAGATAGTTACTGATAGGTGGCTTTCAATAAGGAGAATTGATCTGTTCTTCAGAGATGTGCAGGTTGTGGAAAGCTAAAAACCAGTGTGACCTGCATCCTCTCTGTCTACAGATGTGTTTTGCTAATTGACAGTATGATGTTACTCAAATCAGTATTGCTAGTATAATACTGCATTTGTATTTATAGAGCAACAAGACCTCTCTGACAAGAGCTCTTGAAGAGAGACATAATCTATAATATTTTATAAAGATCTAATGCATAAGCCTTGAAGATCTGTAGTGTGTAAGAGCTTGTTATTTGTGCACCACTCTTGTATACCTCTAAGGGGAATCTGAGAATACTTGTTATATGAAAAACATAGTAGCAGATATTTCATAGAAAAGATTTTTGAATTTGCTCTGGCAGCTTGAAGGTCTGATTATTTATTCTTAGGTAGCAGAGTTCTGATGAAGATTGCTGCTCCCAGGCTGTTGTGATTTTGATAAAATAATTGTTTCCTTGTCTTTAGATGTTTGGAATACTTTTAGCCAGCAAAATGTAAGGTTTTGAGAAACATCCAAGCAGTTTCTTCATGACCAGTTGTGAGACTTGGGTGAAGACTGTTGTTCCTTTGCTAATTTTTTTCTTCGTAAGTGACAGATAACAGGAACGGTGAAAACCACTGCAGTATTTCTTTTTCCCCTTTTTGCAGACTTGCTCCATTCCAAACACCTAAGTGCTTATGACAGACTTTTATTTTATGTTTTATATTAAAGAGCGATTTATGATTAAATGTTAATGAAATAGAATTTTCACTGTGCTTTCATTATATTCTACTAGTTTGAACATTTTTCAAAGCAGCACACCAAAACCCACTGTTTTCTATGAATAAATAATAAAAAGCTTGTCTGTACATTATCATTCATGCATTCTCTAGTTGCCCCATTGGTAATTTGTCTGCCAGCATAAAGTGGGCACTTCACATTAAACAGACCTTAACTAAAGCTAAAATTAATGTTATGATTCTAAGTAGTTCTTCTTCCCAAATCTGTAAAATGAAGCCAGTTGTACAGAAGTCCTTGCTGAATCTAGTCATACCAAAAAAAATCTTGATATCCTACAAGTAAAGGATTTTAAGTGCCTTCTGCATCATTGCCCAAAATGTTCCAGAGGAACCCTGTCAGCATTTGGGAGGTGTGCTTATAAACACAACTCTAAAAGGGTGCTACATTGCAATACAAGTTGTCAGTGACATTGAAACTCAGAAGCTTAGCAGTGTATTTATTTTTAAAGAATAAGAAATTGAAAGGGAAAGGTAGGTAGCAGTTACTAGGGAGTAGAAGGTACTATTCCCCTAAGCCTAATGTTTGCTTATAGTGGGTGGGTGGAAGAAACAATAGCTAAAGAAACTGTTATAAAAAGGGAACAGTGTCAAATCCTTTTGTTCTTGTAACTTAAATCCACAGGGAAGTAGCCCTACTTTCTCTTCAAAGTCCATGGAAACTGTGGGGAGGAGGAGTGGTACCCTGGGAGATGAGTGATTCTGGAAGCTTGTTGCAGAAAACAAAGATGGCAGCTAAACAGCCTTCAGACCAGTTTGTTCCCTTCTGATGCCTGCCAACTCAAACAGGGAACAGAACCTAGTCTCCACAGAAACACAAAACATGAAGAAAACATGTACTGCTGCTAA